AAAAATTAATAAACTTTTTGAAAATGAAAAACAAATATATAGAAAACATCATTGAATAAATAATTTGACCACCACCACCACCACCACCAATCATAAATTGATTCTAATTGATCAATTCGATTGACCTTAACCTAATGGTGTTATAATTTATGAATGAATATTGATTGAATCTAGTTTTCGATACTATTTATAGCATCACACTTTTCAAAAGTGGATTTCGATTAACAAAAAAATGAGTGTTGAAGACAAGAAAATTGATTTCAAACAACATCAACATTGATGACATTGAACCATCAACAACTCTTTTTTTTTCTTCTGCAACAAATCTTCTTTCATAACAAAAAAATATCATCACTGAAATTACTTATTACATAAATGATGATGGGGAAAAAATAATCTTTCGATTAATATGAATGTTCTAGCTAAATGACTGACTAAATGATTATGATGACATAAATGCATAATAGACTTTCAACAAACAGCAAAAAAAATTGAATTTGAAAAAAAAGGAAGGAAAAAAATGATTAAATTGAAATGAACTTTGAACTGTTTTTTCTCTCGAATAAAACTATTTTGGAACGATTCTTGTTTTGTTTTCAAAGAAAACCTATGTGCATTTCATCACATTCTTACATAATCAATAATGATTTTTCACTTTCTCGTTCAATAATCATTGATTTTATGAATGAATGATTAAGATAAGAAAAACAACAACAACAAATTAGTTGTTAAACATCATCATTTAGTTTTTTTAAAATAAAAATAAATTCATGTTATATAACATAAATATGCAATGATAAGCGGATAGATAACAACAACAACAACAACAAAATATCATCATCATTGCTGCACACAGATAATAATTCATACAATGGAAATCGATGAAATACAGAAAAACAAAACATGGGTCAAGGTTTGTTTTTTTTAAAAGAAAAGACCGGCTATTATTTTATCAGAGAAAAAAGAAAGAAAGAAGAGAAAACATTTTTTTCTTTTCTGTTTTTTCTCATCATCATCATGATGATTGGATTGATGTTTGAAGATGATGCAACAAATTTTTCATAACATCTTGATGGAAAAAAAAGAAACAAGAAAGAAAGAAAATATCAGTAGAGTCAATAAACGCAACTAACATTTTGTTTTTCTTATTCTCTCTCTCCATCTATCTCTTTTTAACTGTCAAATCATTATCACTACATAGTCCATCGGATAACAAAAAAAAAAATTCGGCAACACGCAATTTTACATAATACGTTTAGTAATAATAGATATTTAGTATATTCATAATAATTTGAAGCAAAAAAAAACCAATCATCATCATCATGATTATAATATTATGTCAAGTTCCTTGTATATAGTGTAATATAAGAAAAGAAAATGCTTTTAAACTTACCAAAAAATGCAAACAATGCTGTTAGATTACGGCTAGATGCAACACCATCATCACCTTTCATCAAAGCTTGACTTAATTCTCTTGGACTAGGTCTATCTTCACCGGCCATCATATAAACACCATCCGAATATGATGGTGGTGCTTTACGTGTTAAATGACTTTCTATATAAATAAATTGAGTAGAAAGAAAAAAGAAGTAAGAAAAAAGAAGATTGAAAACAATTGAATGAACAAAAAACAAAAGAACAAAAACAAAAATGAAATAAAGGTAATTAATCATATTATGAATAATAATAATAAACAAGAAGAACAATGGAATTGTTGTAATGAAAAAAAACCCATCATCATCATCATTATTATCATAATTATCGATCATTAAATTGAAATTCTTGTCTTAAAAAAGTCTATTAACAATAAGAACAGCAAAAAAAAAACACTCTGTGAATAAAGGTTTTTGTTCATTGAAATTGAAAATTATTGGAATTTTTGTTAAATACCTTCCCCTGTTTGTATTGATCAACTAAAATAAAAAAACAAACAAAACAAATAGCATCCACAATAGATAATTATAATGAAATTCATGTGATTTTTTTTTGTTGTTGTTGTTCATCTCTAATTTGTTAAATGTTTTTTTTTCTTCATTGGAATGATGGGTGAGACTGAAAAAAGGTGAAAAAAATGTATACATAAAGAATCATGTTGTTTGATTAAATGAGGGAAAAGATTTCTAAGAAAAAATTCCTATGAAATGATAATCAGAATGCATCCATGATGAAATTTGATATGAAATTTAGTAAAAATTTTTTGATAATTACCAGTTGTTCCCCATGATGGATGAGCTAGATTATTATACCAACCATCATAACGTTGCATTTCAGCTTTAAAATACATATTTCGTTGAATGGCACGTAAATTTTTATAACTAAATAACATTAGATCATCATCAATATCATCACTGTTTGCCGTATCATTATTATGTTTTTGTTGTTGTTGTTGTTGATGATTATAGGCAAAAACATTGATTAATGGTGAATAATTTAAATCATCATATATTTCAGTTGATGTTATATTATTATCATTATTATTCAATATTTCATCATCAACATAATCAATATTTGATGATAATGTTGGTTCAAATGTTATAATCGAAGATGATAATGATGATGATGAAATTGGCATCTGTGTTGTTGTTGTTGTTGATATTGTCGTCAAAGTTTGCTGATGATTATTATTATTAACTTTTTTTGAATTTATCGGTGTTATCATTGTCATCATTTTAGGTGTATTCATTGATCTGGCCGTACTACGTAATAAAACGGCACCTAAAAACAAATATCGAAATAAAAACAGAAAAAATTAAATTTCAAATGTAATCAATCAATGTCAGAAAACAAACAAACAAATTCAATTAGCCACCTGAGAAATTGTAACCTTGAAAAAAAATATATAGAGCAATAACCACTGATTGATCACGGTAAATAAAATAAATTTCAAACAAACAAACATTGAAACATCTTCTAAACAGATTCTTTTGTGTGTGTATGCTCTATTTTGACAACAAAAAATGTCCTTCAATTCTGTACAAATGAATGTTGATGTTCCTGGAATAACATTCATTATCGAGAAACAAAATTATTGACATTTTCTTTGGAAAATTTTCTGAAATTCTTCATAAACTGAATTTTGTCAACATAGAAATTTTCCCTCATTTTTTCTCGCCAGCAAACACAGAAAAACTATAAAAAAATCATCAATTAATCAAACTTTATTTGATTCAATTGTCAATTGAAAATTAGATTTTTTGTTTGTTTTTTTTTGTTTCGAATCACTTGAACACCTATTTTCTCCTTGACTTTGTGACTAAAAAAAAATGTAATGAAATGAATGGAAAATTTTTTCATTTTCACCAACCAAACACAAACACAGAGAAAGAGAGAAATCAATGAATAAATCTTTCATTTTCAACCTTGTTTTTCAACAAATAAAATAATAATCTCCTAATAATTATTGCATGAATCGAATGAAATATTACTTTACTTTAGTTTTGTTTTCACAACAATGATACGATTCTCTAGATTTTGAAAGCGGAAAAATTTTGAAAAAAATGACCATCATGTTTATCGAAAATTGATCCGGAATTTTCGAGTTCAAAAAGGACATATAATTTTTATTTGAAATATACAATACAGGAAAACAACCAAAGAAAGAAATTTTCCAACATGCAAATCTTCATTGTCATATTTAAATAGTAATGGTGGCGGTCCACTAAAAATAAATGAAAGTAATTTTTTCTGTACCAATCAATTAACCACTTCAGACACACAAAGAGAGAAAGGAAAGGAAAAGAAAATGAAAATGAAAGCTCCCTTTTTTTTCTCGAGAAAAAATTATCTTTAATGGATGTTTATCGTTCATTATTTTTGTCTTTTTTTTGGTTTTATTTCAATTTCAAAAAAGAAATATGACATGACAATCGTAACAAATATTGACAGTCGTTTTTTGCGTTTCAGGATCATATTTCTATTTCAAACATTGATTGGCCACTGAATAAACGTTTGTAAACGTTCATAAAAACGGCAACTGTATTTATATTGATCCTTCAAGTTTTTTTTTTTTTGTTGCAAGTTTGGTATAATAATTATTGACAAAAAATAACATATATTAGATATTTGATGACCACACACACAAAACCATTTATAAATATTGTATGGCAAAAACGATTTCTCAAAATGTAATTCAAAATTCAAAAAGATAAAGATAACTTTTAGCAGAGAAATATTTGTAAATGATTTGGGTTATCAAACAAACGGCAAAAAAAATGTCACCTTCAAATTGAAATACATACACAAACAGTATTCATGCATTTTTTCTTTCCTGAAGTACCTGACTGACTTAAGCTTAAGCTTACTAATTTTTTTTCAAATGTTTCGTTTCTGTTATTAATTATTCAAAAACAAAATGAATGAATGAAGAAATTTAAATTGCAAATAATTTTCTCTTTCACTCACTCTACCTCCATTTGATGATATTAATTTCTTGGAAATTCTAAAATTTCGACATATTTTTTTCATTCATTCAATCAATCAATAAAATGGAATGAGGGGTTAAATTTTGTACAAAATTCGAGTACAGAAGAGAGGCTGTTTTTAAAAATTCCTGGATAAGAAAGAAAACTGTAACAAAGTGACAACAACAACAAGAGATTAAACAAATTTAGAGCGATAAATTCAAAAAGATTCATAAATCGTTCAAACAACATTAGATTTTCAAAAAGAACAGAACAGAAAAACTTCAATTCAATAATAATGAGAGACAGGTGTTGAGAATGATGACATGATTTTTGTTGTTGTTGTTTATTCCATTTTCTCTATTCAAAATACAGGTTTAGCAAAATGAAATGATTTAAACTGGATCGATCAAAAAATTCAAACAACAATAATAATGATAATGATGACAAAACAACATCAAAATTGTCGTAATTGTCATGCTATTCAATCATTACAAGTTATTATTGATTTTTGCTTGTTTCGTTGAATAAATAAATAGATTATTCATGACCTTTGATTGATTGATTGATAGATTTATTTATAAAATTGATATTGAAATAACTATGATGATGATGACATCGATTTTCAATTTCTCACGTGTCATCCTATCAACAACAGTAGCTACTCTATTTATTTGAAATAAAAAACATGTTTCTCTTCAACAAAAATATCCCCCCCAAAAAAAGTTAAATAATATAATATTTGTGGTGTGTCAGGGTTCATCATAATAGGAATCATTTGATCGATGATTATCATTATTAAACCAAAATCTAAAAAACATTGCAAAAACCCATTCAATAATGTAGGTTTCTTACTCGTTCTGTGTTGGAAAGGATCCTCTTTCTTTTTTCCTAAGAAAAATAAAATAAAATAATTCACATGGATAAAGATTAATTGATTATTCAAGACAAAACAGACAAAACACTTTACAAAAAACCGGTTAATATAAGAAGAAGAAGAAATTATCGTTCGTTTATTGTTGTTTTTGTTTTCATATCACTATGATCATTTGATCAGAATCAATGTGAAATTCTGTGTAAAAATAAGGGGTGTAATAAAAAGAAAGAAAGAAAATTGGCTTTTATTTTAACGAAAATTAATTTGTTTAAAAATCTCATCTCCTGCTCATCTCATATTATCATCACTTTTTTTATTATTATTTGATTTGAAGTTTGAAAGAATTTCAAACACACACACCGATAACAAAACAAAAAAAAACCCGAATTTCCACAATAATAATAAAAAAAATTAGCATCATTTTGTTGCTGTTTTCTTCACTTTTTTTGATATTCGCGAATAAAAAAAAGGGATAGTGAGAAACAGAGAAGTATAGATAAAGGATTATCGGTTATTTACCTTTGTTTTTTTCTTCAAGTTTTTCAATCAAATTATTCTCGAATTTTCTTTTATTTTTGGGATCTCGCATACAAACCAACCACACACACACACATCTGACTGATTCTTATCTGAAATCCTGATTGGTTAATATAAAAAAAACAATCACTGTAATGATGCAATCAAAATGCTTTTGGCTATTTGAAACAAAAAACAAATGCAATTAAAACACGTGACAATTTCATTCATATTTCATTTCTGGTTTTTTTTTCATTCATTTTTCTTTTTATCTTTTTGTTTTCAAACACAAATTAACATCATTCAAATGGAAAATCTTTCAATTCAAAATAATCCATTGTTTCGAAATTCAAAAAAAAATGAAATCTTTTTTGTTTCAATCAGTAGCAGTATAGTATGTCTGGTTGATAAAATCAAGCAGCCAGATAAGAAACGATGGAAAGAAAAAAAATCGTTAATTTGACAAGAATCTAAACAAATTACGAATGACGACAATAAAGTCTTGAATGTTTTTTTTTTTTGGGATATAAAAACAAAATTGACCAGACACAGGGTTAATGGACAACAAAATTATACTA